CAGCCTCAAAGGAGGGTAAAGTTACAAGGTGGGTGTTTAATGGACGTCCCAGGCTGTCGGCAAGATCAATCTAAGGCTGAGTGCCCCTGCTCTAGACCAGAGGGCAGCTTCTGTTGACATTTTTAGTGTGTTCCCGACTCATGCTTAGTTTTATTCCTTGGTTGTGATAAGTTTGATTGGTCCACAGTGGTATCTAATATTCTAATGTTTTCTTGTCTTATTTACCATGTTGTTTATGGATCACTCATGCTGTTAACTTGTACTTCTTGTTGGACCTCCTAGGTGGTGCTCTCAAGCCAACTGATATTGACCAACTGTGGGTTCATGTCATGTGTGCCTGGTATCAGCCTAAAGTCTCCTTTCCTGTTGACGAGACAATGGAGCCAGCTGTGGGCATATTGAGCATCCCTTCTGAGTACTTTAAGAAGGTTAGGATTTTTATCTAGTACTCTTTGCAAGGTTGCCTAATGGGTAATTATTGTATGTGCTTCTGTGTTCAATCATCTTACTCTTTGTTTAACTCTTGTGTTTTTGTTAACTCCAGACATGTATCATATGCAAGCAGATGCATGGGGCCTGCACCCAGTGCTACAAGTGTTCTACTTATTATCATGCAACATGTGCATCAAGAGCTGGATATCGCATGGAGGTAGACTGCTTTTGCCACCTCTTTGTAGAGGAAATTGTCATCATAATATGTTTGCATATCCATTTTCTTTAATTTAACCTTCACTCTCTTTTCTTATATGAAAACAGAATGCATATTATTGGCTATATAATGATTGTCTGAAAGATTATGTTTGAGCATATGCCACTTACCAGCCTGATATTGTTTGCTTCTGTGTAGTATTGCTGTGGATTAGCAAGTTTTTTCCACCAACTTTTACATTTAAGCTATGTTGTGGCAAAAATTCCCTTGTGCCAATTTTTTTTGTGTCGTTGCTCAAATAATTCCATTTGAGCTAATCCTAAAGTTTTTAAGCATGCTGTCTTTAAAGCATAACTTGATACAACTGTTTAAACTGTGCATCATTTGACGCAAACATTTTCTGGCGTTTGTTCCTTTATTAACCGATTTTAAACATAAAGATTAAAATTGTACTTTTCCTGTACTCTTGCAGTTGCAATACTCTGAGAGAAATGGTAGGAAGGTGACTAAAATGGTCTCCTACTGTGCGTTTCACAGGTAATAATTCTATCACTTGATTTTTCCTTTTTGGTTAAGTTAAACTCATGAATGGTTATCTAGAAGAACAATTTTAAGCTGGCTTAACGATCATTATATATACTTCCTTTTGTGTAATCTTTTGGGGTTGATTTTAGTACCAATCAAACCTATTTTAAGAAAACAATGGCAAATATGGTCCATGGAACTGGCATGATTTTGGAACAATGTCATTTGCAGAAGTGAAAATGTAACCTGAGGCATAAATTATCACCAGTAAATGTTACTAATACATGTTATTCTTTCTTGTCCACTTCAGTACTCCTGACCCAGATAATGTGTTGATAGTGAAGACACCAGATGGAGTGTTCTCCACCAAATTTTTGCTCCAAAACAATGAGAAACAATCTCCTGCAAGACTAGCTAAGAGTGAAAATCACCAGGAGGTTTTTCCTGCTGAAGTTTCTGATTGCCCAGCTGCAAGGTGCCTACCTTATGAAATCTTGAAAAACAAGGTATTTTCTAATTATCTTGGTTTTCTGCATCCACCCTGGACATTACCTTGTGATAATTTTCGTTTCTAGTTCATTTATACAATTATACTCAATATATACATTGACCTTTTTTTCATCCTTCCTGTATAATTTTTTTGCCTGTTGTGTGCGCGTGTTCGTGTGTGTTGATTCTGAAAATTGCAGCAGCACTGTTTTGCGTGACATACTGTTATGCCCAACTTAGGTTAATGTTAAATGCAAGTGATGTTAACAGACCTGTGTAGTTTTAATTTCTGTTGTTTTGTCAGCAAGTCCTTGGTACTAAATTATCTGTGTTTTCCAGAAACAACAAGGAGAGGCAGTTGCCCATCGAATAATGGGACCCCGACACCACTCTCAAGATTTGATTGAGGCTTTGAACACATACATGGTAAGTGCCTGGTCCTGACCATCACCATCTTTTTTTAAGCAACATTTGAATGCTAGAAACATTTAGGCATCTTATTCCCTTGTCAGCAGGACCAGAAGGGCGACCGACCTTTTGCTACGTTCAAAGAAAGGCTTCAATATTTACAGGTTTACTTTCTGAATGATCCTGGTTCTTAAAAGGCTATATGAGCAAACCAATAAACATATGTTTGACTATTTCAGAGAACTGAAAATAAGAGGGTCTCTTGTGGTCGATCTGGAGTACATGGATGGGGGCTCTTTGCTGTTAGGAAAATTCAAGAGGGGCAAATGGTAATCACTGCAGACTATATTTTTTTCTTCAACAGTGCTCATACTAACTACATTATCAAGCACATGCACTGACATACCATATTAATCTGGTCACAAAGCATAATTTAACAGCCCAATGTAGCATTTATGGCAGCAATTTGATTAAATGTGCACTGTCTAATACAGCAGATAACTTTTGTTACTTGCTTGATCTCCAATTAGTGAATATACTTGGTTGCATTGACTGATCTCCAGTTAATGAATATAATTGGTTGCAATGCTTGATCTCCAATTTGTAGATGTAATTGGTTTGTTGTGCATAATTTATAGGCACATACATGTTAAATCAGCAGCATGAACATTTTTAGTACATTTTCTGTCTCACACTAGAGTTCAAAATTTTACCATGAAAATGCTTATGCCTATGTTATCGAAGCACTTAAATACATCCCATTTGTGAGGAATCTGTTCTTAATTTGTCAGCTAACCAAACTTGTGCCAGGTGATCGAATATCGTGGGGACCAAGTCAGACGTAGTGTTGCTGATTTGAGGGAAGCACGATATCACAAGGAAAATAAAGACTGCTACGTGAGTTATCCTTTTTGTACTGTTTTAATTGGTTCCCTACTTTCAACTTGAACGGTTTAACTGGTGTAACTAATCGCCGTCATGCAATCTTTTCTTGATGACAATTCGATTAAGTGTAGAACCACATAAAAACTGTAGCTTTGTTGTTCTGACGTGCTGAATTGTTTTTTTGCGTCTTGTGCTGCTGCAGCTGTTCAAAATAAGTGAAGATGTTGTGATTGATGCTACGGAGAGAGGAAACATCGCCCGCATAATTAACCACTCGGTAAACCTTGATCATGCTCTCTGACACCTGCATCTTCTTGAATCCATGAAATGGTTAACTAATATAGTCATTGCGTTTGCAGTGCATGCCTAACTGCTACGCGAGGATCGTGAGCGTCGGCGACAACAAGAGCCAGATAATTCTGATTGCCAGAAGAGATGTCTCAGCCGGAGAAGAATTGACGTACTGCTTCATAACCCTGTCCTCTTCTGTCTGGTTTACACACGGAAAAAAAGACAATTTAATCGCGTTGAGAGTGTATACAACAATCTGCAATCATTTGATGTTCTGATCCTCTCTATTTTCCCCTGTCATCCACAGGTATGACTACAAATTTGACCCGGACGAGTCGGAGGATCGCAAGGTTCCCTGCCTGTGTAAAGCCCCTAACTGCCGTGGATACATGAACTGAAATTTCTGACAAGGACTAACCAACCCCAATTACAGTGGCGAAGCGCCACACACATTCATCCAGATTCTTTCATCGTCTTGTGCATGGCCGCCAGCATGCAACCAGCTTAGCTTGTGTTTTTTTAGTCACAGGATTTTGCTAGCTAGCGAGGTAGGGCTTTACCAGGCTAGGCAAGAAAAAGAAGCATAAACTGGCGTCCACAGCCAGGCATTGTAAATTCTTCATTGCTGCAATAAATTGATGATTTCTCTTGTGAACAAAAGAAAAGAAAAGAAAAGAAAAGAAAAGGAATCCAAAAGGAAAGAAGATGTCCAATTGTGTTGATGCAATATATATTTCGTGTGACGTCTCAGATGCTGAGGAGAGCTTAATTATGTTGTGTTACTGCTGCTGTTCCTTGGTGTACGCGCTGTTTCTGGTTTCAGAAGATAGGATGCGTGTGGTGCTGCTTCCGCCCCCGCGGCATGCCTTCGTCCCGGAGATGGGGCCACTATCCTTCGGTGGCCAGAATGTCAGCGACCCGTCCGCCTCCCCCGCGGGTCGACTCGAAGCAGCGTGAACCGTAGCGTCTCTGCTCCGCCAGTACCGCCTCCCACGCCCGCCGCCGCGCCGTGGTCCACGGCGCTCGCCATTGCTCGCTTGCCACGACGAGGCAGTCGGTCGGTGGTCGAGGAGAGAGGATTTTAAAAAGCGGGCGAGGAAGATGCACTTACTCGTCGTGCCCACATGCTGCTGCTTCCCCACCACTTCGTCCGCGCCGCAACCACCATCGCTCCCGCGGCAGCTGTCTCGCAGCCTCGGCCACTCCGCGTCGCCGCGCTTCGGCCTCCCCTTCCGCCGGGCCGCGGTGCCCCCCGCCATGCGCCGCCGCGGGCGACGGAGGGCGGCGGCCCCTCCTCCGGCCGCCGCCGCATCAGAGGCCTCCAGCGACTCCCCTGGCCCTCCAGGAGGCGAGGACAAGGTGATTATGGTCTTTTGTGCCGCGCCGTGGCCTTTTGGGCGTGGTCTTCTCTGCTCTGCTCCGCTTTGAGCTTAGTACACTTAGTATGGTTTTACAGTTCCTACTTTTCCGTTCTGGCTTCTGAGCTTTAGGTCTGTGTTGCAACTGGCTTCTACTAGTTTAATAATAGCTTTAGCGTCCTGCCGCATTGCTAGATTTTGCTAGATCATGCAGGGGTTCGCAGTTCAGCGGGCGGATTCAGAGCGACAGGGCCGTACTGCAATTCACAAACCAATCATAAGATCACAGTCTGCATTGTTTAGTCGTGCACAAGCAAAGTGCCAGTTTGTCTGCTTTGCTATCGTGATGTCGCTGCAATGCGCTTCAGTGAGGTTGATTTTGCATGGCCAAACATCATAAGATTATAGGATCGTTATTCTAAAAATGCAGTTCCAGTTTTTGCACAGGGTCCGCATTGCGCTATTAGCCGCAGTTCCTTTTAGGGAAAGGAGTTCAGTCTTAACTTCTGTTTATTATTATTTTTGTTTCGCCTAATGCTGTGCTGCGGTTACTAGCCGTAGATCTGCTTTGACCCGACATCCATTGTTCAACTACATGCCATGTCGTTGCAGCGAATGGCATTTTGGGCGCTGTGCGTGTCACTCTGCAAATGCTGGTGCCTCTTGTGCTGGTTTGTTGTTTGCTGCGTTGCTAATGGATGCATATTTCCTTCATCTCATGCTGATAGAGAGCTGGTACAGACCTCAAAACGCTAGCTAGAAGATTTTGGAAAGTCGCCGCCCCTTACTGGTGGTCAGAGGACAAGGTCCAAGCAAGGCTTCAGCTTGCTGGTGTATTTGCTCTCACGTTGGCGACTACAGGGATTAGTGTTGGATTCAACTTTCTGGGTCGTGATTTCTACAACGCCCTTGCCGGTATGTTTCATCTTTTGTTAAAACTGTTAAGAACTGGTAGCTTGAATGTTAGTGTTCTGAATAAACATACACACACATAATTGCCACTTTGCCAGTGCACGTGATTAAGATTAGAGGGTAGGAGAGGGAGCGATTAACAGTTTTCTGTTCCACATAAAAATTGAGTGATACTAAAGATGACATACCTCGGTTTAATCTTTTGCAATATAAAAAGTAGATAAGAAATTATGTTTCAGCCTTCTGTATGGGCGTAACTTCTTTTTTTCCGATAAAGGGCGTTTTTATTATCTCAAATGTAGCATCAAGCGATAGGGCGTAACTGAAGGTCTCACTTCATATAATTCAAAGTGAATGTACTCATAACTGAAGGTGTCACTTCATATAATTCAAAGTGAATGTACTTCATCTTATCTTTTTACTTGCTAACACATATTTAGTGGTGTCTCTTTCAAGACAAGGACCAGGAACAATTTACCAAGCAACTGCTGTACTACTTGGGAGGTTTCGCTGTAGGAGTTCCGGTGAGCATATTGCTGCCCTTTTGTAGGTATTGCTCTTCAAGCTGCTATTTGTAGCAACTAGACATGAAAACTGATAGTATCAGATGATGCTATCTTATGAGTAATCTTTTCTCCATTAGTGCACTGTCCTGTTTAACAATCAATGACTAGTATTTACAGAGGGAACATAACTGTGGTTTCCTGTGTTAAGTATCAGTGGTTTGTATATCATGATAGGTATCCTTTCCAGGGTTGTCTAGATCCACGATGTTCATATTTTCTAGTTGTTTCAGAGGCTGTAGCTAAATTTATTGTTGATGTTTTACCTAAAATCTACCTGGTTATCTCTTCCATTTAGCAAAAGGTCCCCAACTCCCGGAAAAAGTAATACACAATTGAACATTTGATCTTTGCACTAGAGGACTAAAGCTGCAAGGATCTTACTCTTGCTCCTGGTTCCCAGAAGTGTCTGGAATTGCTATGCTCCTATTAGCATTCATCATTAGGAGCTGTATTCGTTACGTTGCTTCTCATGTTGCAGATTCAGCAATTAGTGTACCTCTTAATCTTATGTTCTGATTTGCAACCTCCTGCTTGCACTGCTATACAGTTCTTTGTCTTGAGGGACTATGCAAGAGAAACCCTCTCTTTAAGATGGCGATCTTGGATGACGAGTTATTACATGAAGCGCTACTTTAAGAACAGAACATTCTACAAGATTCAGTCTCAATCACTAATAGACAATCCAGACCAGCGGATCAATGATGACCTAAGTGCATTCACTGGAACTGCGCTTGCGTTTTCCCTGACACTTCTCAATGCTGTCGTGGATTTGGTATCATTCAGCAATATCCTTTATGGGATCTATCCACCATTATTCATTGTTCTTATTGTTTATTCTCTTGGAGGGACCGCTATTAGTGTCTTCCTTGGTAAGGTAAGGCTTTTACCAGCATTATTTATCTATAACTTGAATCAAAATAGATATAATTGTTCACATTCTTTCGTTATTCATATAACTAATAGTTTGCCATGCTTGTGTTGACAGAGTTTGGTCAACTTGAACTTCATGCAAGAAAAGAAAGAAGCGGATTTCCGTTACGGGCTTGTCCGTGTTAGAGAAAACGCTGAATCAATTGCTTTTTACGGTGGTGAGGAAAATGAACTGCAACTTCTGTTGGATCGGTTCAGGAGGGCTTACGAAAACCTAAGTGTAAGCATTGCTTGTATAGCCTGTTTATCACCTTATATTCCCATTTGTTTTGCTCCACTTTCCTTGTTAGTTCCGAGTTCTGACATTATGAAAGCTGCCATTGGGTCATTTATCAGTAGGTAAGCCTGCTAAGCAGTGGGTGGAGTAGAGCTGCAAGCTTGCAATAAACCAGAAGCACCCACAAGTTTTTCTTCTAGCACTCATTTATATTTTGCAAAAGAATATTAGGATATTTGGATGAGTTTCTCAAATAATCCTCAATCGCTTATTTATAACACATTTCACCAGAAAGCAAAACACCCATGGTTTCTAGACCAAACTTTGCCTGTCCTTGATAATCCTGTAAATTGCTACTCATATTAGTGAGTCATGTTATGTAGTTTGAAAACATTGAGATACCAGATATGCTAATATTATGATATCCTAAAAGATTGTCAACTATGATGATAACTGTGGCAGGTGAAATAATTATTACTTTTCTAGAACACATCGCAAAGAGTATATATTTTTGCATTGGAAGAAACGCCGAGAAGGCGCAAAAGATACAACACCACAGGTGATAATGACCCAAAACACGACCAAGAGCCTAACAACCAACTATGAAAACTGCAGCCTGAAGCTGCCACAAAACTACACAAAAGAGCCTGAGCCAATATTCTGACAAGGAATGCGGTAGGTGGTTGCGCGTGCCATTGGCTTCTTAGTGCCAACTAACTTCCAGATCTTTGTTGTAGTCGGGCTGTGCATTGTCAAGGACACATGATTTGCGGTGTTGCCACAATCTCCTCAGCATCAGCAAGATCGGCGAGCGAAATAAAATGTCATGATAGCTAGAAAAGCATGTTGAATGTCTACAAATTTATTTCTCTCTGGATGTGGTATTACATAGGTTGCATTTCACATTAATATGCTTCTTTATATGTTTAAAGTAAATTATTAATACTGCTTTTCTTATCATGCTGTAATAAACTGTTGGTATTACATTGCAGTCATAAGCTTCTCCTGCCACTAGACTAAATATATTTCACCCAGTAACCAGGTCTATTTTTGTAGTTGTCTTTGTTCGGGGGTTGTTTGTGCAGAAGTACGGGGCCAGGTGCCCTTCCAGTGCTTTCTTAGGTGTGTCTACATGATTTGATGTAAATGGAACACGTATACTTCTAAAAAAGGTTTCCAAATTTAGATGATTTCCGGGTCCCAAAACAAACTCATGCTTATGCATTTATACTGTCGTGAGGGAATGCACCATGCCACCACCACTCTTGAAAACAGGCACTCTGTGTCAGCTTCGCTCTCTCTATACTTTTATGTTCAACTAGAAACTCATGATGCAATTTATATTTGCGAATAATCCGATGTTTGATTTTTTGTTATCCTTGTAGGAATTACTGATAGCATCCCGGAATCTGGAGTTCTTCACCAATGGTTACCGATATTTAATTCAAATCCTGCCAGCTGCAGTTGTTGCTCCAATGTTCTTTGCAGGAAAAATCGAGTTTGGAGTAATAAACCAATCGGTGTCTGCTTTCAATCACATCCTCAGTGATTTTTCTCTCATTGTTTTCCAGTTTCAGTCAATTAGTGCATTCTCAGCTGTCATTGATCGTTTAGGTAACACCTCCCTCCCTCCCTCCCTCTCTGCTACAGTACTTGCTAAGGTGCCTAGGTTAACCTAATTGAACTTTAAACCACAGGTGAATTTGATGATCTATTGGGTGAAAATGAGTCTTCTCTATCACCCCAACGTGATAGCATTGATGGGATCAACATCTCTTTCAAGAGCGGCAGTCCTTCTGTTCTTAGTTCTAATGGATCACAAATGCAATCTGAGCCAGGCATAGTTCTAGAGATTTGTGATTTGACATTGTTAACACCTAGGGGTGGAAATATTCTTATCACTGACTTCAGTATGGAATTAAAAGACAAGGACCACCTACTGGTATTTCATGTCTTATATCTGGTTGTACAATCAGTAACATAAATAATACTGGTGACATCAGACTGATGTGGTGTTCTCATTATTACTTTTAGGTGATGGGACCCAGCGGCTGCGGGAAGACCTCATTGCTCCGTGCTTTGGCTGGCCTTTGGACTAGTGGCACTGGGAATATCATATACCATGCCAGAGATTCTAGGCAGCTTCAGACAGCAAATTTAGGTTCTAATGAGCCATCCAACATAAAGCCGGAGGGTGAAGAACTATTGCAAAGTTCCAAGCAGAGAAGAGATAATGGCATATTTTTTGTCCCACAAAGACCATATATGGTTTTGGGTACTCTTCGTCAGCAATTGCTCTATCCTACATGGACTGCAGATACGCATCAGTCACCAACTAATGACGCTCAGACAAAAGGTAATTTGTTTCACGGGGAGGTATTAATTGCAAATTACCATGTATAGGTGCAGACTACATCAGTTTGGACGTTGAGTCAAATGGAAATTGTGCACGAACTGTATAATGGTAATCCTAAAAGTAACTAATACATGAAAGATCAAGGAAAAGGTGAAAACATAATTGCTCATATGATCACACCAATCTTTGTTTTGTTTCTCCCAACATGAATTTGTTTTGAACAAGAGTACCTATGGACATACCTAATATACAGTAATTATAGCATAGAGTTTTTATTTTTGTTGAATGGTCAAATATTTATTCATTTGTTTCGAGTCTTTGGCAGTGATAACGTACCGTTTATTTTACTTTAGCGAAGTCAGGAGGGGAGCCCCCCGGCTAAAGTTTCAGTAAAATCAGAAACCAGAAAAGTACATAGTGAGTTACAGAATACCAAAACTAAAATCCCAGCTAGAGAGAGATGAAAACAAAACATGAATACATCAAGGAAACTTTCTTCTAGTCCGGTCAGTCGTCAGTCCAGCCGAACGCAATGTTTCTTGCTTACAGAAGTTGCATCAGAGCAGATAATTCATCAGTGTCCCATTAGCCATTCCTGATCTTAAGCAGCAACATGAAGGTTTGGTCTGAGAGCATGAGAAAAGAGGACAGGGAAATGCAAGTATCGTGGGATATTATTAGTCCATGTACCTGTAACACCTTGGTCCAGTTTGCCTCATGTGTGTTGTAGGAGTTCGATATATCCAACATGCAGAGTTTAGACGATTTCAAAGTCTTTAGACAGCACAGAAACACAACAGCACCATGCCTAGTAACTCCAGGTTAACCATTTTGAGTCGAGCGGGGATGCAAGTCCAAGTGAGTTACAGTATGCATCTGTGATCCATTGCATGTGGCGTTGGTTTTAGCAAATTTGGAGGTGTTACAATTTATGCCTAAATGAGAAGTATTATGGTGTTTAAACTAACATACTTCACAAAATATCTAGGCATTTGGAAAAAGTTCAAGGAGTAATACCACGGGATAGTTCTGAAATTTAGCATGTTCATTTCAGTGTTAAGACAATGTAGATTAATACCATCTAACAGAAGTAAAGGGCAGCCCGGTGCATGTAGCTCCCGCTTGCGCAGGGTCCGGGGAAGGGTCCAACCATCTAACAGAAGTAAAATGCAAAAATCGTAGTGGTTATTTGTAATTTCCTTCTGATCTTGTAGGAGTACTACAGTTGTTTGAATTTTGTTGTTAGATGCGGAACAAACGTATGATTATTTTCTGATTCTGAAACATTCATGTGCGACTGACCTAAAGTTGTGCTATTTTTTATGAATACCAGCTCCTCTTTCCTTTCTGTCTGAAGTCTCCACGTCAGATGGGTTGGGTGCCAAGCCTGAGATGCCCTCAACTGATGAACTGATCAGAGTACTTGAGGTTGTTAGGCTGGGCTACATATTGCCACGTTTCAATGGCATTGATTCTGTCCATGATTGGGCCAGTGTTCTTTCGCTAGGGGAGCAGCAGCGTCTTGCATTCGCTCGGTTATTACTCGCAAAACCAACTCTGGTCCTACTGGACGAGTCCACAAGTGCACTAGATGACATAAACGAGGTAACAATCTATATAAGCTGTTGTCACTCTTACGAGCTGCTTTGTACCATGAATTGTCAAAAAAGGCCAATTCTGGAATTATCACCTATAGATCTACTGAATTGCACAAATAGGTATACCTTGAGGCCGTTTTAACTATTTCTCCCCTGGCACAGGTTCATCTATACAGTCAGATTGAAGCTGCAGGGATCACATATATAAGTGTCGGTCACCGGAGAACACTTCACAGGTTCCACAACAAGGTTTTGTACATTTCAAAGTCTGATTTGACAACTGGCAGCCCTCGTAACTGGGAGCTAAAGCCCACAGATCAGAAATCAATTGAAGAATCATCCCCATTCACATCATAAGAACTTCAGCATGCGAACCAGTTTAGGCCCCTTTCTCAATTTTCTTATCCCACATTTAACCCGCTATGGTAAATATTGATTCCCTACCAAGGATCCCATGGCCACAAGTTCGTCGTTACAACTTACAAACTGAAGCTGGAATGTTGACGAGGTTAATCTTACAGCTGGACTGGCAAAATTGTGGCAGTGCTACTAACCAACCTGTTAGCAGGATACACTTTAGGACCTGGAAAAATCTCACCTTTTTGTTTATGTTTATGCTTTGATAGTTTAGAATGAACTATAGCATATGTTTATGTATGGTTGATATTGCACTGCTGTTACCAAAACATTTTCATTTTTATCTGAGTTTTCTCTGCTGATTTATTTCACGCTTGACAGTTGTAATTTTTGTTTCATTGTTGGTTTATCTTGTTGTTCTGCTATCTATGTTCTAGCAACTGTAAGGAATCTCAGCTCTATAGAGTGGTTTAGATCACGAGGAACAGTTTTGAGTATTGATGTTCAGCAACTGTCGCGTGACAAAATCTTCTGGTGAAGACTGATACCATTTTCTCTTTCTTGTATTCTCCTAGGAAGGGAAATTCACCAATAGCCAATAGCAACTGGTCTGTGTGTTTTCTCAGTGCAGATCCTGGTCCGGCCTAAAGTGCGAGTTCTGAGTTTCGTATGGATCATAAGTTTTTCCTTTTTTCTTTTGAGCGTGTATGGATCATAAGCTATGTTGAAACCAATGCCACCGTCCTGTACAATATGTAGACCATTTATTGCTACCTTTTTTTTTTTTGCGGGGTGACGTACGCACAACTGGCTAGTATAATCTTGATATTATAGTTCCACATACATATCACCCATGTGTTTGTGCATGTAAGTATTCTAGAAATCCCGTAGATGTATACTTGCCATAATATGTAAAAAATCGTAACAACTATCTTAACAAGTTTAGTGTGCATAATAAGACATAAAATTTCTTAATCACAAAAGATGTATACATACTTTTCCTAATTCTTTTCATGCACATATGGCCATACATTTGTTTTTTTTTTGTGAGCACACATATTTGAATTTTTTTACATCTTTTTCTTGAGATTTTTTTACAAATATCTTAACATGTTTTAATTTTTTCCTTAATCACAAAAATTGACGAATATGCCATACCGCTTAAAGAGCAGCACTGAAAATGCTAAAATGAATCCAAGAAAATGTGACCACCTATGCCAAGTCTAAGACTTGACCCATGTGGGCAGGTTTCACCACACGGAACCTAGTCATCTGAGTTATGATATTCTACGTTTTGTAGATAGTTTTTGAAAATGCAAACTATATAAGCAGTAGGTGTACATAACTTTTGAAATATGTGCACACAATTTAAAGTATGCATTACAATTGAAGGAATTTAACATAAGAAATTCACACGTTTTAAACAAGGATTTAAAGTTGCAGAAGTGCAAAGCGAAGTAAGATTGGTGGTAGCAAAGGTAATGTACTCGAGCAGGCCCCTTATGCGTTATGAACAGTAGCTTACACATAATTTTACTAATATGTGCTCTCAGCTGCTTCCAACAACACAAATGATAAATAGGTTTTTTTTGCAAGGTTGAATGATATTGAATGTATTTCTTTATGAAAGGTATATGTGAGTTGTTTCTACAATAACCTTTTACATAATGTTTAGAGCACTTTTTTTGCGAAAAGGCCAAAATCCATTTATTAAAGCAGACCAATCCTTACAAGGTCATCCTTACATAAACTAAAAATTACACACAGGTCCTTGGGGAAATTGATACCCGTCTTCCTCTTGCACTCGCCAAAGGCGTGCTGTGAACGAAGCTCGATGCCGTCTCTGGACCTTCGTTGTTGACACCGCGTTGAGACCAATCAAAGCCGGAAGGCGTGGATGACATCGATTTGAAAAACAGATCGCCATCCCAGATAATAAGGCGGCGAAAAGGGCTAGATGATCCTCCTAGATTCGGCTAGACAGATGCAGAGAGACCTAATCTCAGATGCTCCCTAACGAATGTCGAAGTTGGCCAAACATCGTCGGTTGGAGGAGCCATAGGACCAAGACACGAAGCGCCACAATGCACTCACTCTGCTAAAAGCATAACATGAAGACATAACCAGATCCACCACTCCAAAAGAGTAGTAACATACAATTTGCCGCCCTCCTTTACTTCGTTGTCGAGACCCCCGCTGACGAGGCGGACCAGGAGTCAAGAAAACCTTTTATTCTTAATCTGCATGGTGCCACCATCACCACCGCAGTGCCTACATCGGAGCAGCCGGTGGAGGAGGAGTGGATCTATGGCCTTGCTGGCAGGGAGCGGTGATGGCTATCTAGGGCCTTGGGAGAGGGAGAACAGGAAAGTAACGTTTAGACTACACAAAGCTTTGATCTACAAGAAGAAACATGAAAAAAATAGATATTTGTATTCTAGGTTCTTGAGTAGCCCTCTTCCTCGGCCGCAATCGTGCCTCATGAACAATGTTTGTTATCTGCTTCCAACAATATAAATGATAGATACATGTGTTTTCACAACCATTGAATCATATTTGAATGTCTTTCCTTGTTAAAGGAACACGCGAGATGCAAGTTGTTGCTACAAGAACGTTTTACAAAGATAAGAAAACAAATGCAAAATGATGTCTTTATTCGCGGTTCTAGAGTATTGAGATCGTGTCTTGGATTCAACAAATAGTACTTGTTTATTCTTATTCTTCATTATGTTGGCTTATTTCAGAACAAATGATTACACAAAACTACTTGTGCTAAACACAAAATAGAAAGCCGTAGAAATAACCTGTTACATTTCTTAAGACGTGAAAACAATATTGGGACCAGAAGAGATAGCCGTCTTGTAAGAAAATTACTTCCGGTAGAGAGGAGGTGGGGTGGCAAATGAACAACCACAAGCACCCAATAATACATTTCTACAAAGTATAAAGACAGTTCACACATATACATTACAAATACAGCGACGCTACCCGCACGACAATTTCCATCTGATTTCCGTACGATCTCCCGGCTGGCCCGTTGGATCCCAACATCTTTTCAATCTGTGTGGTTCAGAAGTACGTAGCATGCACGAGCATCGGACCAAAAATGTCGCACGCATAGTTATTATCTCGAACATTACAAATGCTTTCTCCATTTCGCCCTGTATAATCAAACCACCCATACGATCGACTTCATCCTCACCACCATCATCATCATCGTCATATCCTGTGGTCACATATACTACTAGTATCGTACTACAAGGAGCTGGTGATCATGATCACATCCTCCTCCCGCCGGTTCCGGTCTCCCTCTGGCAGTTGAAGTAGACGGCGGCGACGGGCAGGCCGAGGTTGTAGAGCTCGGCAAAGTCGCGGGTGCTGAAGTTCTGCCGCCACCCCGGCGCGTACACCGTCTGGCGGCCCAGCTGCTGGAAGAGCAGGAACACCAGCCGGTGGATCCCGAGCACCGGCCGCGGGCCCTCGTAGCACACCACCTCGGTCCCTGGACATGCATCCGTACGAAAAGTTCCATTAGATTTAGAGCCCAGAGCGACGCTGAGTTCTGTATAATAAAGTGGTGAGACGTGAGATCAGTTTTCTTCTCCTGTACCGAAAGATACTCCTGTCGTCCCCGGGATGTCGGTGACCAGCCTGCATCGGTAGATCACATTAATATTGGTTCAGCACTTAATTACAAAAAAGCACTCCCTCCGTAAAGAAATATAATAAAATAATGATCTAAACGTTTTTATATTTCTTTACAGATGGAGCAGATGAGTAGTCTTCAGTGAAATTGATGATTAAGTTTGTGCAGGAGATTCTGGTCTCAGGAAACCTCTGCAGTTTGGACCTTTGGGGTGACCCTTTTAGGCTATGAGTAGGCCATCCAGGTATTTGCGAATTGGTTGTCAAGCAGCCCCAGCATGGGCATGTAAAGAGGGATACAAATTTGGCGCCCCCTGCCTCAATATAAGTGCAAAGCAAACATTGCCTTCCATGCCGGTGTTCTAGATTTTTATATCGCGTCACAGGAATTAAGTAATTGATGGTGTTAAAATAAATATTTCTCGCCGAAGCCAATTTTTGTGCTGCACAAGTTTTATTTGAAAAATAAAAACTGAATAAAGCATGAGATATGCATTTATTGGCATGTTGCACTATATATTAGTTTTTTTAGATGATGACTCTTTTTTTTTCTTCCACTTATGCATTGTTTCCTGATCACACCACGAAAATACTATTGCATAAGAGATAACATTAATGTCCTCAACCGATTCTTTATTTTGTTTGGCTTAATGTTGTAAGACCTTGTGAGAATTTTTCTTCTCTTCTAAAACTTGCAAAAGCGAAGCAATTATTTTGTAGCCTTGTACGGTATATATAGTTCAAACTCAAAACAATGAATAAGG